CAAGATGGTGAGTCTCCAGCACAGGGCTTTGGGGGTAGCAAAAATCTCTGCGTCACAATGTTCAACAGTCTTGTGGAGTGCAGTCCCTCCACGCGCAGGGTGGAGGGACGTAGCCCAGCCCCACAGAGGTCCTGTTCCCCTCTCCGGGGGATGATCAGAAGCCCCAGCCTCCCAGAGGCGTTTGTTTGCAGAGCCCCTTCTCCCTCTGCTTTACAGGGCAAGAGCCCATCAACATGCTTGGAGTTGTCTTGGGCGCTGGGCTGGCTGTGCTGATCTTGGTGCTGTTTGGCTACGCCTTCGTCCGGTGGTACCAGAGGGGCCAGTGCTGGCGCCGTGAGTACGGGCAGAGCAGGGGGACGGGTAGCAGCAGGGCAGGGAGGGCTCCAGAGAAAAGGGCTGCAGATCTTGGGATGTGGAGAGCACACCTGATGTTTGCTCGTCCCCGGGGGCTGGGGAAACCCACGTGCAGGGTGGCTCTCAGGCAAGATGGGAGCCTGCGGAGGCTGAGGAGGGGGATGTCCTGGTGTGGCTGGCTGTCCCGCTGGTTGTCCTGCCCGTTCCTACACTGCTGCACAGACTCACAGCAAAGCAGAGGTGAGTTCATGGCACCACACAACTGACACATCTCCTTCCTGCCTCCCCAGGGCCTGATTTCGTCTTCAACCTTTACCACACCTGGTGAGTGAGGCCGTGCGGGGACCTGGGGTGGGCTAGGTGCTCCCTTTGCACAGGGCCGAGGTGTCGCAAACCCTCATCAGTCCCAAACCCACTGAGCTCTGCTGTTTGCAGGCACTGCCTGCCCAGGATAGTGATGCCCTGGGGAGCCCCAGCTGTCTGGGAACAGCCCTCGTTCCAGAGGCCAGAGAGGGGCAGGCAGCTCACTGACATCGCTACCTTCCTTGCAGTGGGCTGAGGTCGGTGGCAGTGGAGCTGGTGCCACCGTTCAGTATCAGTGGCTTGCTGACCGAGACGGGGAGTGGCTATGTGCCTTTCCACAACCAAGGGCCATGAGACAGGAGCCAGGCTGGCCTGCAGGTAGGACATCACCCTGCTCCTCCACGCCTGGCCACATAAGCCCCCGGCACAGCCCGCAACAGCAGCGCTGTGAAGCTGCCCCACGCTG